TAGTAGATGTTGTTTAGTTTAGTAGATGTTGTTTAGTTTAGTAGATGCTGTTTAGTTTAGTAGATGTTGTTTAGTTTAGTAGATGCTGTTTAGTTTAGACGATGTTGTTTAGTTTAGACGATGCTGTTTAGTTTTGACGATGCTGTTTAGTTTTGACGATGCTGTTTAGTTCAGTAGATGTTCTGTAGTTCAGTAGATGTTCTTTAGTTCAGTAGATGTTCTGTAGTTTAGATGAACGTGTGAATCAGACTACCCTCCAGTTCTTTAAGTGAAGTCAAAGCTTCATGTGTTAAAGCTGCATTCTCTCTAGTGTCCACCAGGGGGCGACTCCTCTGGTTGTATAGAAGTCTATGAGAAAATGACTCTACTTCTCTCTTGATTTATTACCTCAGTAAACATTGTAAACATGAGTTTATGGTCTCAATCTCTAGCTTCAAGTCTTCTTCAATACAGCATGATGTTCATTCATAGTTTGAAGATGCTTTGAGTTTTAGAGTGAGAACTCTGAAGAGAACCTTCTTTTCAATCTGAACCTCTGAACAGAAACCGGTCCAGACCTCATTAGTTTTTCACCATCAGAACCAGAACCGTTTATCATTTTATATTTACTCCACCGTCTTTAGAGCGTTGAGCTCTAAGTTGTTCAGACCAGGTCACCAGATGGTCCATCTCCCACCTGTAGGTGGATTCATCCCAACCAGAGATGAGTCCAATGATGGTGGTGTCATCACACTGGGATGGGTGGTACAGAGGTGTGGGCCCCTGATGAGCAGGGGGAGGGGGACCTGGTGGTCTGGGGCTGGTGGATGGTGTCAGGACTGTCTCATTGTCTTTCAAAGAGACAGTAGAACTCATTCTGCTCGTCTGCCCGGCGGAAGTCATTCATGGAGTGGGGGGGCTTTAGTCTTGTGGTTGGTGGTCTGTCTGCGAGTCTCCAGACAGAAGCAGAGCCACTTGCTGAGAGCTGGTGTTGCAAATTCTCAGAGTCTCTCACCGCCTTGATAAATCTGTATTTTGACTCGTTGAACATGTTCTTGTCCCCTCTCCTTATGTTCCTTATGCAACCTTTGCTGTCTGAGTCTAGCTGTAAACCATGTTTGTTGTTGTTATAACTCACCCTGGTGCATGATGGGACACAGCTGTCTTCTCCTTAGACAAAGATGATTCCTGATTGGTCAGCGCCTCTTGTCTCTTCTCCTACAGATGACTCCTCCTCCATTTCCTGTCCCTAAGCCTCGAGCTCGTTACATGAGGGAGAGTCTTGGCTCCGCCTCCTCTTCGGACAGGTCAGCTCACCTTTTTACCTACACACACACGCATACTCACAAAGTGGATAGATGGATTCAAACACACAATTTGTTTTTCAGAGATGTGATTGGTGAAACTCTACAACCGGTTTGCTCAAATTGGGTTCACCTGAGCACAGGTACTCACACACACACATGCGCACACACACACACACACACACACACACATGCACACACACACACACACACACACACACAGTGGTGTCTTTTAATGACTTTTCGGGACATTACATTGACTTACATTCATTTCCTGGAGACTTACCATAACCGCTACCAGCCTAATCCTAAACGTAATCTAAACGTAACCTAAACCTTACAAAAACCTAAACCTTTGTCCCTGTTATAGGAAGCTGAGTCCCAACAATGTGACTGTAATCAGATTTATGTCCACATAAGACAGGTAAAACACACCCAAACACATATTATATAACCTCTCTAATGGAAGCTTACTGACGTGTCAGCTGACTGATTTTCATCAACTGCTGCCAACAGTCAGATTTCAGTTCAGACAGGAAGTTGAGTCAGTTTGAAAGTCAGAAGTGAAACGAGTTGAATTAAAAGTCAAACAATAAAAATAGAAACGATAAATCAGATGTAATTCTTAATATTAGGAGTAAAATGAAACGCTGCGAGTCAAACAGCTGATCTGAGGTCTGACTGATGGTTTATTTTTAGTGCTGACGTGTTGCAGCAGGTTGAACCAGTTTGTTCCTGTTGTTGAACTGGTGATCGTCTGAAACCAGTTTGTCTTCTGCCTGCTGAAGAATCTCAGCTGAAGGAAAGGTCACATGACAGAAAACTCTTCAAACAAGTTGTTTTTATTAGTTCTTTTTATTAGCACCAAATGGGGATTAATCCGCCGCTGAAAATAGTCCGTACCAAAGTCACTCTTTCCTCCTATATTATGTCTTCAGTAGGAACCAATGGGCCACAGACAGGAAGTGGAACAATCAAAATATTTGATGATTATATATAAAAACATAAGAAAGCACCAGATTTAATCTTTAACATTAACTCAATTTGACTTTTATTGTGAAAGTCTGACTGAATCTGTGCAATTCTTCTACTGAGTGTAGATCTGTAGTTTTTTAGTCAGCATCTAGTGGACGATTAAGGAACTACAGCAGATGATCAGCTGATGTGTGATGATGATGTCACCGTGTCCTCTTCCTCAGGTGAAGGTGCTCCTCCACTTCCTCCTCTCGGTGGGTTGGACCACGGAGCCGTCTTCCCGTCATTGGCCGGCGTTACTGACGTCATCGGCACCAGTATCCCGTCATTGGCTGGATTTGCTGCCTCCATTGGAGGACACATCCCCACCCCGCCCTCGCCCCCCCTCTCCGTAGACAGCATGGCTGACAGCATCGCCACCTGCATACCTAGCTTAGCAGGAACTGCTAGCGCTGTGGCTAATCCTGCTGCTGCCTCCACCACTGCACCTGTACTTGCTGCTAGCACTGTTAGCTTTGATAGCATCATTAGCTCATTAGCTAAAATACCTAGTTTAGCGGGAATTGCTAGCATTGTGGCTAATTCTACTGTCAGCTCCACGACCGATACACCCGACCCCCCCTCACTGCCGAGGGGCGGAGCCGCTCACACAGGTACGGCTGTTGACCAATCAAACGGAGGCATTGTTGCCTTCTAGCACCTCGCCAAAATAAAAGTCCTCTGCTACTATCATGTTTTATTGGGGGGGACAAATGCTGGTGTTATATTGATGTCCTCTGCTCTCATTGGCTGAATGGCTCAAACTGTCTCCTGATTTGTGCTCTCTGTTTGTGCTCTCTGTTTGTGTCCAGATGTTGGAGCGTTGTCACAGCTGGTGATGTCATCTTTCGACCCGAATGCAGGAGTCACATTATCTCCAATAGAGGGCACTGCTGAGCCGACGGATGACGGTACTGACGCAGTGAAACCTGGTTCTCGTGAGTCCTCCTGCTCTTCACCCTCCTGACTCTTCTTCGTCTGTTCTGTTTTTCAGTTTGTAAACAGTCTGCTCACACCATCAAAGAAGAAACCCCGTACGTCACCGTGTTGGCTTCCTGGGCGAGCCAAGACGAAGCAGACACCGACTCATCAAATGAGGAGGAGGATACGGGAGGTAGCCATGCCCCCTCTGGAGCCGATGGACTAATGGAAGGAGACCCGTCTTCAAATACCAAAGAGTACGTATACCACAGTAACTACTAGTATTACTACGAAGCTGCTCTTAACTCTTCCTCAATATTTGTGCTCTGCAGACTCCCGTCGAGTCCTTCAGGTCCTCTGGTACCCACGAGGCCACCCCCGCCCCCTCCTCATCCTGCTGGCCAATCAGGAAAGCATTTGAAACCGAAGACTCCAAGGTACACAAACACGTCCCATTCAAAGTCCAGATTTCAACTAGAGCATATTTAAACTGGAACATATTTAAACTAGAATATATTAAATCTACATTTAAACTAGGACATATTTAAACTAGGACACATTTAGACTAGAGGACACGTTTAAACTAGGGGACACGTTTAAACTAGGACAGATTTAGACTAGAGGACACGTTTAAACTAGGGGACACGTTTAAACTAGGGGACACGTTTAAACTAGGGGACACGTTTTAACTAGGGGACACACTTAAACGAGGACACACTTAAACGAGGCTATACTTAAACTACAACATATTAAACGCCCCAAAGTTTCCCAGAATGCATTTCACATGGACCAGGTGGAGCTGGATGGAAGGAGATTTGGTTTTTATTGATGTTAATGTACATTTTCGAGGTAGTCAAACGATTTTAATTTCAACTAGTTCAATTTCCCAGAATGCAAAGTGTGACATTGGGCTGTTTGTCCTGCAGAGGGGCCACGATTCGAGTGTCCAGGAAGAAGGGGGGCAGCGGGAGTTCAGCTCATCAGAGTGCCGTGGTCCGAACCAGCTGGCTGGATGTCTGGAAGGGCTTCAGGTACCATCATCGTCATTATCATCATCATCATCATCGTCCTCATTATTACCATTGTTATCATGAAATGATGCTCTGAAATCAGTGCTCAATAACAAACCTCAGTGAGCTCCTGGTAGAACTGATCTCTCCTCACAGACTCAGGAGGTTTGTTGAAACTAACCAACAGTGTGTTAGTAAAGGATGAACCAGAAGCATCATGGGCAATTTACATCTAAAACAGAAGGAGACCCAGAATTGATCCCTGAGGAACACCAGATTATGATGATGATGACAAACAGATATTTTCTCTCTTTCTCTAACAGACACAATGTTTTATGGGCGACGTTGGATGGACAGCTGATGTCTCTGTGGAAGAAACGAACAGTATGTTATTGTCTGTCTGTCTGTCTGTCTGTCTGTGGGTCTGCCTGTCTCTCAAGCCTGTCTCTCTCTCTGTGGACCAGGACCGGTTCAGTGAGGTCCTCTTTCACGTCTCCAGCATCACCAACGTGAAGAAACAGGACAAAGGCCGATTCTCAGTTTACTTCAAGAAGAAGCATTATGACTTCATGGCTCATAATGAGAGTAAGAGACCTGAACTGTAGTGGACCAGGTCTGTGGTCTGTGGTTTCCTACCGGTCTCTGCTGGACCGAAAAGGTATGTTCAGACAGACCAGGGGATTAATTTAAGAAGTCTTCTTAATGTTTTTTCCAGATGTTCAAATAGGTTGGGTCACGTCTCTGCTGGCGACTCGAGGCCAGCCAAGCCCCTCCCCCCCGGACCTCCACGGACCAATCACCATCAGGGACCCTCGGAGCCGAGCCTACGCCGCCGTCTGGGGTCACGATCTCTGGATGTACCCCAACAAGGAGGGCTTCACTCTGGGCATTGCCTCGTTCTCCGTCCCCCTGAACGTGGCCACGGTGAAACCTACGGGAAGACACTCGTTTACCCTCATCACTCCATACAAGAGCTTCAAGTATGTGTCTGTCTGACTGCCTGTCTGTCGTATTAGGTCTTAACGCTTAACGTTCTTCCTCATTCTTTCTTCTCCCTCTTTTCCCCTCTTTGTCTCGCTCTGTCTCTCTGTGGCCCTGCCCTCTGTCTCTCTGTGGCCCCACCCTCTGTCTCCCTGTGGTCCCGCCTCCTTTCTTAGCCTGTCTGTTGATTCGTCGAAGGAGCTGTCCATATGGTTGGACGGCCTGTCCTCCGTCATTCTTAGCGCTCTATCCAGCAGCCAGGTGGCGCTGCGTCTCTGGGAAAACCCCGACAACAAAGTGTGCGGGGACTGCGGCTCAGCCAATCCTGAGTGGGCGTCGGTCAACCTGCTGCTGGTCATCTGTCATACCTGTGCAGGTACGATGACATCACACATCTACCACACAGTAGCTGGAGGTCAGATGTTATGAGCAGTTATTATGCAGCGAGGTCTGCTAACAAATTAAATCTATTGACTGTGAACATTGTGTTTAACATCAACCTTCTGCTAGTTAATTAGGAACATTTCCTTATTATGTATTAGAATAGAAAATATACTAGAAAACATAATCCAGACATCAGGTTTCAATTGAAATGTATTTACGGGGGTGTGTTTATGATGATGGTCAAGATAAAGAGATTTTCATCTTTAGGACTTGAAACAAGCTCATTTCAGTTTTGGTATGAATACAGAATGCTAACAGAGTCTGTTCTCAGGTCAGCATCGAGCTCTGGGAAGCAACCTGTCGAAGGTACGCAGTCTGAAGATGGACAACAAGGTCTGGACTGAACCACTTATACAGGTGAGAGGGGGGACTGAACCACTCGTACAGGTGAGGGGGGGGGACTGAACCACTCGTACAGGTGAGAGGGGGGACTGAACCACTCGTATAGGTGAGAGAGCGGGGACTGAACCACTCGTACAGATGGGGGGGGACTGAACCACTCGTACAGGTGAGAGGAGGGACTGAACCACTCGTACAGGTGGGAGGAGGGACTGAACCACTCGTACAGCTGAGAGGAGGGACTGAACCACTCGTACAGGTGAGAGGAGGGACTGAACCACTCGTACAGGTGAGAGGAGGGACTGAACCACTCGTATAGGTGTGAGAGCAGGGACTGAACCACTCGTATAGGTGAGAGAGCGGGGACTGAACCACTCATACAGATGAGAGGGGGGGACTGAACCACTCCTAAATGGCCTTTAACACCTTTCTCTTCCAGCTGTTTGTTACCTATGGTAACCGGCTGGCCAATCAGGTGTGGGCTCCAGTGGTGCCGGCGGTGGAGCAGCTGAGTCCGGGGTCGTCTGACATAGAGAGGTCTAAGTTCATCCAGGATAAATACAGCAGAGGCTGCTACAGACGAGTCCACGCTCTGACCTCCTCACCCTCTCTGATGGATCAGGTCTGACTCAGTCCAGAACACAAATAAATACAGCATGTGATGTAAAGAGTACATTATCTCATTATATGAATCATTTGTATTGAATGTCACCTGTCCAGGTTTGTGATGTTGTGTGTGTGTGTGGGTGTGTTTCAGAGGCTGCGTCAGGTGGTTTGTGGCGACGACATAGAAGAAACGATGTCTCTGATCTGCTCAGGAGCAAAGGTCTGATGGTTTTAAATTTTGTTCATATATGACCTAGAATCATCACACACACACACACACACACACACACACACACACACACACACACACCTTTCATGTCCTGTATCTGAGTGAGGTTACGTGTGTGCAGGTGTGTCAGTCAGACCCTCAGATCCCCTCCCCCATCATGATGGCTGAGAGGGCCGGTCAGGGTCTGCAGACCGAGCTGCTCCGCCTCAATGAGTACACAGGTAACACACACACACGTAAAACACACACGTTAGTATGTCAGTATGAATAGTATGTTAGTACTAGTAGTTCGATAAACTCACCTGGATGTGATTCTTTATTCAAATCTTTTTCTTGTCATTAGACGTTCCATCTTACCTGCCTCAGAGACCTGACTCCGCCCCCCTCAGGTAGGATAAATACACTAACAATAATAATACTAATGTAAAAATGATGACCAACAGATTGATGTACTCTTTAAACTGTTTTCGTGTGTGTGTGTGTGTGTTACCTGTGTGTGTGCACAGTTGAGGAAGAGGAGGAGCTTCACGGTAAACTGGAGGAAGATCGTTTTCTCTTCTCGTTAGAAAACGACTCGGCAGCGTGTGACGTTCTTGATTTGAGAGAAATTCTGTCTGTGTTCCTCAAAGACGGGTAAATACTACGATACAAGCTATACTAATACTTATAGTACTACTAATACCACTAGTACTACCAATACAGCTAATACCTCATTTACCACTGTGTGTGTTGTCAGACCGGCTCATCAGTTTGAGATGGTGACTCTGAGCGGTCAGCTGATCTGTGCTGCTGACAACGAAGAGGCGCTGCTGAGTCACCTGGTTCACATCCTGAAGGTACACCTGAGTTTGTCCAAGTCCAAGTCCCAGTGTCCCCCTAAGGCCTTAAGACCTGAACCCTCAGAGACTTTACTGATGTCTATATCAGGGGTCTTCAACGTTTTTCAGGCCAAGGACCCCCAAACTGATATAGAGATGGAGCAGGGATGTTTTATATTAAACTGGGCCTAGTGCCATGAATAAACATACCTCTTTATTGTGAATTCAATACTAAGCTATTCAAATAATACACAGGTTCATATATTCGTTTTTATTTTAAACATGTGCAAGGTACAGTGAGTAGGGAGGCCGTGCCACTGCCATTTATAAACACACCTTGTCAGCTGATACCAATGCCAATATCAACATTGTCTGTCAATTGCATGATAATCATACAACGAAGCTATTCAAACTGATGTTTTCATTTTAAACATGAATGTGGAAATGAAAAATGAGTGATGGCCTATTAGTGCCACTGCCATGCATAAACATACCTGTTATCTTTCATACAATACTGAACTATTACAATAATGGACACATTCATGTTTAGAGAAAAAAAAAAAACACTTTTTAATTGTCTAATCAACCAAAAGTTCCGCGGACCCCCTGCAGTACCTCCGGACCCCCTAGGGGCCACGGACCCCCTGTTGAAGACCTCTGGTCTATAGTATAACCTGAGTTCTAGTTATCAATATAACCTGAGTTCTAGTCATTAGTGTAACCTGAGTTCTAGGTATCAGGGTAACCTGGGTTTTTGTTTCCAGGTGATTCTCCCAGGGGGGGTGTCTTATGCAGAGGTGGGTGGAGCTTCTGCAGTCAGTAAAGTGCATGTAGTTAATGTGGGCGGAGCCTTGAGTCATTGTGATGCCTGGTTGTTGCTGTTGGAGGATGGAGTCAGTCTTCATCCCGTCCACAGACACACACAGAAGGCTGTGAGGATGGATCTAGACATGCTCAGTCATCATGGTAAGTCTTATAATTTCCTTCCACCTGCTGCAACATGTTGAAGTTACTGATTAACTCAATGCACTTTTTGTATCATTCGTTCTTGTAATGGAAATTATAGATAAATAATCTATAACCCCGGGTTTAGGTCAGATAGCGTGTGTGGTGAGTAGAGTATGAGTATAATTAAAACCTCCGTACAGCAAAATATACTCTATCAGAAAAACACAAAGTTGAATGTTAAAATATCAGAAAACATCATGTTGTATGTTTGATTTATGAATAAACATGTTTTTACTTGGTCTGAAAAAGATCCCTAAATCTCTTTTTCAGTAATGGATCCAACTGAAAATGTCATCACCATAGTGACGGCAGACAGGTGTGCAACCTCCGTGTTCTTGCTTTAGTTACTAATATTTCCCGGCTTCTGATTGGCCGAGGTCACCAGGTGTACGTAACATCACAGGATGCCTCTTTGTCCTCGTCAGGAGTTTGTCGCTGAGGTTCGAGGAGCAGCTCAGCTGTCGTTCCTGGTTCAGCCACCTGCAGAGAGCTCTGAACAATCGGAGAGAAGCTCCACGGCGTCCTCCGGCAGCCAATCAGAGCTCAGCACGTCAGTATCTGTACCCGGTGATGGACATGGGCTCGAGGGGCTCGGTGCCTCCGGCTGTCGAACGCTGCATCTCCCACATCACGACCTTCGGTGAGTTTATATTTACACGTTTAGAGATAAACTACAAATATGCAAAGAATTATGGGACATTGTCTCTTTCTCTCAGGTCTGAAGGTTCACGGCGTGTACCGCCGCTGTGGCCTCGCAACCAAAGTCACCCGATTGGTGGAGGCTCTGACGACATCACCTAACTCCGCCCCTCTGGAGAGTGATGAGCAGGGTGTTCTAGATGCTGGCTCCGCCCTCAAACAATATGTCCGCCAGCAGGAGAGTTTGATCCCGGACAGAGACAGACAGCAGTGGACCCACGCTGCAAGTTAGTACTCTACATGTACATATACTACTACTTGTACCGTAAAGTATGCGTAGTAAACATAGCTCAGATTTATGTCAGACTGAATAAATCACAGGAACCGTACAGTAGTATTTGTGAAGATGTCGTGGTAGATCAGAAGCAGTAGTGGAAGTATCTGGAGTTATACTACAATACCACTACTGTAGTAACAGGAGTATTGTAGAATTACTACTGTAGCATAACTATAGTACTACAGTAGTAACGCTACAGTAGTAACAGGTTACAGTAGTAATGCTACAGTAGTTACAGTAGTAACGCTACAGTAGTTACGCTACAGTAGTAACAGGTTACAGTAGTAACGCTACAGTAGTTACAGTAGTAACGCTACAGTAGTTACAGTAGTACTCACTGTACTTTTCTCTCAGTGAATGCAGACGAACGCTCCAGGTTTTCAGCCTACCGACGGTTGCTACAGCAACTGCCCGACGACAACCGAGCAACACTGAACGCACTGTTTGGACACTTCTACATGTAACTAACACACACACACGGGCTCCTTTTACATGAATTACTGCATCAATGCGGCTTGGCATGGAGGTGATGAGCCTGTGGCAGTGCCGAGGTGTTATGGAAGCCCAGGTTGCTTTGATAGGGGCCTTCAGCTCGTCTGCATTGCTGGGTCTGATGTCTCATCTTCCTCTTGACAATACCCCATAGACGCTCTCTGGGGTTTAGGATTGAGATGCACCTGTATATACACGTAGTACTGGTCTTTGTCCAGCAGAGGGAGTCAGTATTCTGATATTAAATACTAGTTGTGGTCATTTAGAGGTTTAATTAAGTAGATTTTAGATGTACAATTACACGTTTTTTCAGGCTGATGTAATTGTATAAAAATATTCAAAATGTGACTTTTTGGAAAAACAGTTCATACCATTAAATAACAGGATCATATTTATATACTATATAAAATGTGCAGAATATTTTCCAAGTCTTTCTAAACATGAGACCCACGATGATCCACATGAGTTCACTTCAGACTCTTCTCCTCCTCAGTGTCCAGGTGTTCTCTCAGGTCAACAGGATGTCGGCTCAGAACCTGGCTCTGGTTCTGGTCCCGACTCTGTTTCAGACTCTGAACCAGGATCTGCTGAGACTTACCAGAGAGTTCATCATTCACCACACGCTGCTGTTTCTGGTGAATATATACACACATAATTTCTCTGTGATTCTGTGTCCCACATTGAATTCATTATGAATAAATCAACATTTTAGAAGTTGTTTGTATCTCTGCAGACGCCTGAGAGAGAGGAGGAAGAACAGATCACTGTCTTCTGAAGACCAAGAAGACAAAGACGTCTTTGAGTCCTGACAGTTGGTCTGAGATCAGACGTCAGGTTAAAAACATTGTTTACTCTTTTATTGAACCTTCAGTTGTTTGTTAAATGGTGAAATATTGACTGTTCATTTGGTTCACAGGTTATTGATCATGTTAAATATAAAGTGTGGAACTTCACCGTTTTCTCTCTTAGAACAAAGTCACATCGTCTTCATAGAAATTCATATTACGTCGCATAGAAAGATCTCATATTTCATCATCTACAGTTTTATTCCGTTGAAGTATACCTTCATTTATTTTAAAAGCTAAACAGGAAGTAGTTCTCAGGCTCCTAAACCAAGTTGCTGGTTTGATTCCCAGTGAACCGGTCTGCCTCAGTGCCTTTGAACAGCTGATCTCTGATGTGTGTTTACTTCATAAAGACTGTGACATCAAGCGTCTGTTTTATTAAAACATTTCATTCACCAACATTTAAAGTCATTAAATGCCACCCAAAACTCATACAGACAACAATAGACGGTCCACAGTGCACAACAGACAAAACATATTACAAAGAATAAATAGAGCCAGAAAATGCCATATGAAACATAAAAACATAAGGTGTTCATTAAAGAATCGGACTGCTGCTGTAACGAAAGACCGTCTGGGAAGTTCAGTAGAACACTGAGGCGTCCTGAGTCTCTCACTGAATGAGCTTCCGAGTCCATTGAAGACACCGTGTAGTGGACGGTCTTCAAACAAGACAATCGTTTTTAACTTGGCCCTTGTCCGCTTTTCTACAGTGACCTCTAGTGAGTCTGGAGTAAGGCCAACCACTGAGCCAGCCTCTCTGATCATCTTATTGATCCTGTTTTTTTCCTTCTAAAATCAATAACCAACTCTTTGGTCTTTCCAACATTTAGTTTAATAAAAAAAAAAAAAAAGAAAAAAAAAAAAAAAAAAAAATTATGATCACACCAGCTGACAAAAGATTCAACCTCCGGTTTATAGGCCAGGTCGTTGCCCGGGTAAGTAGACCAACCAGAGCAGTGTCATGCGAGTGTCTGGATGTTACAGCACACATGGCTCTGCCTGTAGTCAGCTGTATGAAGTGAGAATAAAAAGGGATTAAACTGTTCCCTGTGGTGCTCCAGTTTTAGTTAAGATAGTGTCAGACAGCTTATCAAGCCTGACAAACTGGTCGAGACAAAAGGTAATCCAAGACCCAAGCAATATGTCACGGGGCATGGTGGAGGACTCAAATGCAGGACAGACGCAGGAAGCATGTATTTAATGAAATTAAATTAACACAGGAAACTTACAGGACACAACGGGGATCCACGGACAAGAGACGAGACGGAAATCCAGCAGAACGAGGCAGACGGGAAACCGGGAACAAGACGAGCCAACCGGGCGGGTAGACATGACAATGATCTGTCACTGTCAGTTTAAATAGTGATGCAGTGGAGCGAGCAGGTGAGAGAAATGAACTGACGAGGTGGGAGTGACTGGCAGGTGCGCTGAATAAACTGATTAGGTGAGTGATGGAAAAAACAGGATAATGGTGTCAGATAAACTGAAGTATGTATCTCCCTTTTTTTTTTTTTTTTATTAAACTATTTGATTTTAAGCAGTGAGGTTTTGATGATTAATTTAAGGTTTATTTTGTTGGGAACGAAAAGGAGCGTGTTGGAGTTATCAGCATTTAAGAAAACTAATTGTTAGTAAGATTATTGATTATTAATAATAATGGGGCTCCACCCTGAGAACAGGGACCAATAACCAAACTATAGACTAAGTCTCATAATTAGTATTCACTCACAATGTGAACAGTCTGAGTACTGTTACACATCCAGAGTGAATGTGAAGGTTTAAGTTCGAGCACAGGCCACATATCAGCTGTTATCACAATACACAAAGTAATCACAGACAGCTGCTCTTTAAAGTATAACAGAGTTATACTTATATAATGATCTAGTCAACTAATATCTCAACTAACAACAACTATACATTCATGAGCACGCTATCTAAAATCAAACTATTTAAAAGAGGGGGGTATGCGTGTGTGTATGTGCAGTGTGTGTGGGTGTGTGTGTGTAGGGGGGGAGGAGCGAGGGGTCAGCTCAGGCCACGTATGACGTAGTCTGGAATGTGGCGGAATGTGTCTACCCCGTTGTCTCTGCACGTGCCTGTAGCCGTTAGAGCAAACCCATAGCTACATTAGCTCAAAGCTATATGTGTGTGTGTGTGTGTGCGTGTGTGTTAGTAAAAGAGTAGAGAAAGAAAACAAAACAAAAGATTAAGATCCTCCGCATCGCGCTGGAGTTCGGAAAACTGTTCTCTCAGTCAGAGGAGCACAACCGCGGCTCTTTGTGACAGTCGCGGTTCAGTCTCGGTTCTGGCCTCCGCACTAAGGAGACGCAGTCTCCGACCTCACTGCGGCTGTCTCAACACGAATTACGGTAGCATGGAATACACGGTAACTTCTACACAACACTAGCGATCTTAGAGATCGTCAGTGTCAGCGATCATAAAGCTTACACCACGTTATAAACATGAACAGTACTTTAAGCACACAAACAAGATAAATAAACACAATGACCTCTAACTCTGATAATCTGCCCAGACTCTCTGCCGTATGGTGAGATGCATCGTGGTGGTTGAGGCGGTCCTTCTGAATTTGTCAATGGAAACTCAGGCAGCGCGGCTGCGTGCAGCGCGATGGATTCTCTCGGTGGCAAAGAAATCTCTTCGTCTGGATGAGAGTCCTTATGGCTAGAACAAAGGGCGGCTTGGATGTAGAGTGAGAAATGCGCTTCTCTCTCTCTTTTTGAAGAAATCTTCTTCACGTCTGCAGGAAAAATGGTTCGCATCCAGGATGCGAACATAAAGTACAAAATGATAAACGGCTGGTATATTCGTCCCGCGAGTATAAAACAGTTTAACCTGTTTTGGTAAAAGGACAGCAACGTTGCATTCGTGCTCCCTTATCGACTGAGTTGATCGTTGGAAAAGAGGTGTGTTCAGGTAACCTCGGAGTTTTATAGGTTTGGGGGCATGCGGTTGTAAAATCGCAAGTCTCCCCTCGGCATCCCTGCTCTCGTCCAATGAGAGCAGTGGTGCATTTGGGGGGCAAAGTAAAACACTGTAATGTGGAACTCTTCGGAGTGGGGGACATGGTTTTTCTGAAACTCGAGTCAGGATGAAACCTTTGCTTGCCAAAGGGTAGGCCTGACTCTCTTTGTTCCACAGAACATGTCGAGGCCACATGGTCAGATTCCAACAATTTGTTAGTGCAACAAACTTGAACAGTTCAAAATGTTTTATATTATGATGTAAAACTACAATAAATAATAAAACTACATAAACTACTTGAAGTTAAAGAAAACATTAAACACATTCTATTTCATCCTTACTGACCGCCAGAGGCAGTGCTTAACACTGGATATCTTCCGGCTCGCGCATGCGCAGGTCGAATATTTCCAATTTTCCACGGTTGGCAGAGCGCTTCCGCTCTAGCTAATCAAGTGGCGTGCTAACGAGAGCGTAGAATATACGCTGTCGGTCCGCCCTTCACAGTGAGCAGAGTGTCCTGCTCAGGCTAACTTGATGAGATGCAAGTTCGACTAGATCGACATTAGCATTATGTCCACTGGGTTCGTAACATTACGGCTATCACAGTTAGCAGAGTGTTCCCGCTCAGGCAAACTTGATGAGATGCTAGTTCGACATTAGCATTAGGTCCACTGATGTTGTACATTACGGCTATCACAGTGAGTAGAGTGTTCCTGCTCAGGCAAAGTTGGTGAGAGACTAGCTCGACTAGATCGACATTGGCATTGTGTCCATTGAGATTTAATTTTTACATCTGTCATAATTCACAGTTAGCAGTGTCTTCACTCAGGCTAACTTGGTGAGATGCTAGCTAGACAAAGCTGATACTGGGACTGTGTCCATCAACCTTGTAAACCTTACGGCTGTCACAGTTAACAGAGCGTCCCCGCTCAGGCTAACTCGGTGAGTGCTAGTTATACTAAATCAACATTGATATTGTGCCCATTGATGCTTTTTACGCATTACGACTGTCGCAGCTGGCAGTGTCCTCACTCAGGCTAACCTGGTGGGACACTAACTAGACTAAGTTAATACTGGGATTGTGTCCATTGATTTTGTAACATTACGGCTATCACAGTTTGCTGAGTGTCCTCGCTCAGGCTAACTGGTGGGACCCCACTATTTACAGCGACGGTCCTAGTGAAGAGTGTCCTCGCTCCCCTCTCACTGTAAGGACTGTTTTTTGGGTCTGTTTCCACAGTAGCAGAGTGCTCTCGCTCAGGCTAACTGGTGGGTCACCAATATCTGCAGCAAATATCCTAGTGAAGAGAGTGTTCTCGCTCCCCTCTCACTGTAAGGACTGTTTTTTGGGTCTGTTTCCACAGTGGCAGAGTGCTCTCACACAGGCTAACTGGTGGGTCACCAATATCCACAGTGACTGTCCAAGTGTCCTCTGACTGCCCCCTGCCTGTTCTCTCAACAAGGGTTCCACCAGAATCACGGCTATGTTAAACTCTCCCGGCTGTAGGACCTGTATAGCTCCTCTTCAGCCTGAGGACAGCCCTGACCTCTTGCCTTAGCCTCGAGCATCTGAGGGAGGGCCTCTCGGAGAACCCAGGCAGGATCTGCGGCATCACGCCTTGAGCAGTAAGGTCTGCTAGGCTGGCCGAAGTGGAACACCTGATGCGTGAGGTCTACCTCCCCCTGTCAGGGCAGCTGAATCCAGCCAAAATTTGGCCTTGCACGTATGCCAGCCATTTAGCCGACTATTGCGTCCATCATAGTTTCTCCTGAGGAGACTCTGAGGCCCGATGCCAGGTGCCCTCGACCCAACGTCGGGTCAAAGATGACCGGCTATCCAGGGCTTATGACACAGCAGCGCTGTGGACCATATCGACAACTCCCTCTCCCACCTCATGCTTGCCCTCGCAGCTTCTCTGCAGCAGGCTACTTCGACGCTTCCGCCTCCAGCCTCAGTGATGCTTCATTGCAGGCGTTTGCGCTCATGTCGAGGGAACTTGGACGTATGATGTCCACCCTGGTCCAGACTCGCCGCCAGGTTTGGCTGGCGCAGTCACCCCTATCTGAGACATGTAGGAGGACCCTCCGCATTGTCCCAGTGGAACCTGGTGAGCTCTTCGAGTCAGCTGCTATACAGGTGCTTCAGTGAACTGTTGAAGCTAGCCAGACCAGTCAGCAGTTCTCTGGTCTTCGCAGAGACATGCCTGCAGCCCGCAGACCTAGGGGTCCCACTTTGGCCCCACAAGGCCGTTTTTTTTCAGCCTCCAGCTTACCCTAGTAGCCGACACAGGCCTCAGCGTCCTGCTACAACCCTACCTACGTCCCCCCCAGACAACCTCCGAACTTGGAGACTAATAGTCCCCCCCCCTCCAAAGCCTCCAGAGGCAGGGGGGCCAGGAGATGTCTCCGGGCCGGCTGTCGGGGTTTTCTTCCCAACAGCAGATTTCCAAGGGAGAGTGGTTCACGTCTATCGATGCCTATTCCCATGTTCCCATGGTGCATCACCACAGGCAGTTTCTACGTTTTGCCTTTTAAGGCTGCCACTTTCAGTCCAGGGTGCTTCCATTCGGACTCTCCCATCTCCCCATGGGTGTTCACAAGGTGTGTTACTGCTGTCCTTTCCCCCTGCAATCACAGGGCGTGAACATACTGCCGTACTTAGACGACTGGCTGACCTGGGCGCCATCCCGGCTTCAGGCGCCACAGGACACTGCTCGCCTTCTCTCACGTGGCCCGGTGGGCCTCAAGGTGAACATGGAGAGGAGCTACCTGAGCCCTTCTCAGAGCATAACCTTCATTAGTGTGGCCCTATGAGGGCCTGTCTGTCACCCCAGCATGTGGACAACAACCCCCACAACCTCTCCCCCTTCCGAGGGGGCAGACTGTTGCCCTACATCCTTTTCTCCGACTATTGGGTAAACTGACAGCTGCCTCAACTGTCGTTCCCTTGGGTTTGCAGATGGCTGAACAGCCTTCACTTGGATGCCAAGTGGCACAGATACAGGGCAAGAATATTATCAAAACAGTGCCTACTCACTCTATCCCCATGGAGGGAGAGTGCATATCTGGCAAACAGTGTCCCCATGGGCTCGGTTCCATTCCACCAGGAGATTGTCACAACAGATACCTGCCTCTCAAGGCGGGGTGCAGTGTGACAGAACAGACAGCTTGGGGGCAGTTGTCTGCTCAAAGACCGCAGGGGCAGGTCAAGGTTCTAGTGCTAGCGCTCAAGCACTTCCTTCCATATTTGAAGGGAAAGCATGTGCTTGTCCGGTTGGACAACACCTCTGCTGTGATTTCACATAAACTATCAATGGGGCACCAGATCTGCAGAAGTTGCTACGGGGATCACCGTGCCCTTCTGACTTGGGAGGCCCCTCGCCTGACCAGCCTGTGGGCAATGTACCCACCAGGAGAACGGAACCAGGTTGTGGTTTTCCTGTTCCGTCACAAGCCTCCACCGTGAGAGTGGTGGCTGCATCCAGACGTGTCGACCCACTGCCCCCACTGGGTCTCCCTGACGGAGAGGACCAGTCCTCTGGGTCAAGATGCCCTGGCTCACACGTGGCCAGAGGATCTTCTTTATGCCTTTCCACCATTCCCTCTGATTTTGCTAAAGGCTTGTCAGAGTTCTTCCCCGACAGGAGGGATCTCCTGTCGCAACTAGAAGGTCGGATTTGGCAATCCAATCCCTGCTGCCTTCAACTATGGGTCACCGGAGGGCCCGACCGAATGCTGAGTGGCTGCATAGAACCAGTCAGACTGACTATTCTGAATGCCAGCGCGATCTACCTGCCTGCCAGTCATCCAGTGTGAAGCACTGCCTCTGGCGGTCAGTAAGGATGAAATAGAACGAAAGTTACGAATGTAACTACGGTTCTATGAATCCTGGATGACCGCCAGAGTTCTTGGTCACTCAGAATCCCGTGAACTCGCGAGAAGATTCCATAGGACTGAACTCAGGATGACACCGGAACTTATAGACGACGGGGGTCATCCGAGGTCACAGGTGACTTTGTTGGTATAAATATTCGACCTGCGCATGCGCGAGACGGAAGATATCCAGTGTGAAGCACTGCCTCTGGCAGTCATCCAGGATTCATAGAACCGTAGTTACATTCGTAACTTTCATTTTAAATGTTGTTTAAGCGTAAAAAGAGAAGCAGTAGTTCAGTAGTGAATCTGAAACCATCTGTTTTAACTTCATGTGCTCTAAAATCTCAGATCACTTAGTTTTCATCTCATTGCTCTTCTTGTATTGAAAAAATAGCGGAATCTAAAAGGCCTAAATACAAGTTTACTTTATTTTTTTGATAGAATAATGACTGAAGAATGAACAACAGGTAGAACACAGTGGCTGCAAACTGAAGGTGAGTTGTATCCAGGTGAGGCGCAGCACCCTGAAGATAAGGAGAGCTCTGATTGGCTGTCACACGTAGATGTCTTCATCCATCTGCTCTGGCATTGGTGTTTCCATAGAAACAGCAGGATTACAGGAAACTGTAGAGCGTGAAAGAAGTTAGCATCTGATAGCACCTGTTAGCACCTTTTTGTATGTGTGTGCGTGTGTGAATCTGAGAGCTGTGTTGTTGAGGGCAATAGCTCCTGGTAAGGTCTCATGGGAGGGGCCAGACTAAGAGCCACTCACTGACCCTTAATGAATAGTTTGGAAAGGAGTTGTTGCTTCGCGCCGGACCTGGGAGGGGAGCTTGCCGGCGAGCGTCTGGTGGCCGGGCCTTAGCACATTGGGTGTCAGCCGGGCAGCAGGCGAGGGCTTCTCTGGTGGGGAAGGAACCAGAGCTGGTGCAGGAGATGGAGCGGTACCAACTAGATATAGTTGGGCTCACCTCCACACATAGCATTGGTTCATAACCAAACTCCTGGAGAGGGGCTGGACTCTATCCTTTTCCCATGGATGGCGAGGGTGAGACACTGACACCATCATGTGTCGGCAACAACACCTTGAGCAGCATCACACTGAGCACAGGGGCCCCTCAAGGCTGTGTGCTCAGTCCACTGCTCTTCACCTTGCTGACACACGAATGCACAACAACCTACAGCACCAATCACATGTTCAAATTCACCAGGGATGATGAGACCTACTATAGGAAGGAGGTCAGCCTTCTGACCACGTGGTGCAGAGACAACAACCTCCTTCTGAATAACAGCAAGACCAAGGAGATTGTTGTTGACTTCCAGAGAGGCCACACTCAACACCCACCACTGACCATCAATGGTGCCGATATAAAGAGAGTGAGCAGCACCAAATTCCTGGGGGTGGACATCAGTGAGGACCTCTCGTGGACAGCCAACACAACATCACTGGCAAAGAAAGCCCAGAGGCGCCTCTACTTTCTCCGCAAACTGAAGAAGGCAAGAACACCACCACCCATCATGTCCACTTTTTACCGAGGCACCATTGAGAGCATCCTGACAAACTGTATCACTGTGTGGGGCGGAAGCTGCACTGACCACAACAGGAAAGCCCTGCAGCGCATAGTGAACACAGCTGGAAGGATCATTGGTGCCTCACTCCCCTCACTCCCCTCCCTGCAGGACATATATGACACACGCCTCACCCGCAAAGTGACCATGATTTGACCCCTCACACAGTCTCTTCAGCCTCCTGCCCTCTGGGAGAAGATACCGGAGCCTCCGTGCTCGCACCACCAGACTCTCAAACAGCTTCGTCCACCAGGCTGTTTGGAAGCTGAACTCTCTCCCTCCTCTCTTTTAGATTCTCTATGTCTGACTGCTGCTAAATACAGAAATGATAGTTTCTCTTAATATATATGTTGTCTAAATGTTTTTTTTATCTATTTGCACTGTATTCACTTTATATATTTATGTTGGACTGGAGAGAAACGTTTTCTGTATGTTCGGTACATATTGTGGAATTGACAATAAAGCTAACTTTGACCTTTGATCATCACCTTGATTTTTCAAGCAGTAAAAATTTCCTTCTAGATATTTTGCAGGGGTTTTGGTCACTTAACCTTAATTTAGGCCCTAACCACAATGTTTGTCCAAAATCTGGAGACTCTGGAACCAATTTCTGAGATATTATGACTATTTTTACATCAAATAACCACAAAAAAATAAGGGAATCATGGCAGCCTTTGTGCCTGTTTTAGGGGACTTTAACTTGCAGCTATTACCACCAGATTTCTTTCAGTCGTTCTCTATGAGCCTCTCTTTGAAGGTTCCATTAATCCCCCACGGGGCCAACTGTGTCCAGTCAATAACAATGTAGCCCAAATGGCAGTTCTTTGATTATTAGGGGACGGCCATGTTGGAAAGTTAACATGAGAGTTAGTCCTGGACTCAAGTAGGTTGTTCTTGGGTCCCATAAAAACAGTAAATTACTTGTTTGCATGAAATTGACATATGGTCAACAATAGAGGACACTCTTTAAGGCTCACTTGGTTTCAACTCAATAGGATAGTCTTAATTGAAGACAGCTCCCCAGAGGGTCTACATAGTGGGCACTTAGGGGGCAGGTTTAGGTCCTCAGATGGGGTGTTTGGTCAAACTTTTAGAATTTTTCAGCAATTTGCTGAGATATTTTGCACATTTGAAATCAGAGGACATTTGGGACAATTTCCTCCATCTGGGCTTGGACATTTCGTAGACCTGACCCACCCATACACATGTATTCTAAATGGCAGGTTTTTTAAATATAATTTGGACTACATTTATATGGGGTGTCATGTCTGCCAATTGTCCCGTCCCAAATGGCAGACATTGTCCCAAATGTCCTCTGATTCCAAGCATTTCAAATGTGCATAATTTCTCAGAAAATAGCTGCAAAGCCTGATTTATGGACAAAAGAACTCCATCTTAAAAGTTGAACCTGTTCCCCAAGTGTTCACTCTCTACATCCTCGAGGCAGCCACCTTCGCTAAGGAACCTCCTATTGCGTTGCAACCAAGTAAACCTAAAAGAACAGTCTCTGTTGTGGATTATATCTCAATTTTATTTTATAGGACCCAAAATCTACTGCCATTTGAGGAAATGTCTGACATTTGAGTTAGGACAACTGGAATACCTGACCACCCAATACAAAATGTAGTCAAATGGCAGATTCCTTATATCTCATATCTCACATTTGGACTACATTTGTATGGGCTGGTGAGGTACATGCCAAATGTCCCAGACCAAATTTCCATAATTAGAAATTGACCCTGTCATATCTGCACAGTGCCCTGGGCTAGGAGGCAGCAACTTTAAAATGGGACTGAGTACTCTCGATGTACCAAGTTTGAAGCAAATGAGAGGAATATTCATTTTCAAGAAATTCTGGGCCTTGGGCTTCAATAGCATTGTTCTAATCCTTTTAATTTTCACACCAGTGACTCCATAGGGTGAGAGGATCATACAGTCCAGATCTCAGCTTCTTAACCCAAGTTATTGTGGAGATATCATGCTAGGTTACCATGTAGCAACATGTGCAGTAAGGATTCTGACATTTGGACAACCTTTGAATGAGGTGAAATGTATTTCAAATGGCAGGAAGTATCCCTTTTGTCCCGCAAATGTAAGTTCATGTAATGTTCCAAAAAGTTGTGTAAATGTGTGTGTGTGTGTGTGTGTGTGTGTGTGTGTGTGTGTGTGTGTTACCATAATTAGACTCCTGCTTCTCCTCATCATCACCATCTTTCTTCTTGTTGCCATGGTGACTGTGCATCACCACATATACATTTTCCTCCAGTGGACCTAAAGCAGTAGAGCAGATAATACTTTATTGATTTCTGATTAGTTATCAGTCTGGTGAGATTTTAGAGGAACCTGTAAGTCTCTGGTTGGCTGTTGTACCTGGAGTCCTCATCCTCTGGTTCCTCCTCCTCCTGAGGAAGAAGAGGATGATGAAGAACAGCAGGAGGAGGAGGAGAAGGCAACAGACCAGCACAGACGCCACCGTACTGCTGCTGGTATCTGCTGACAGACAGACTGGAATATATATATATACTGATGTGTTACTAATATACTACATACTGTATACTGTATACTGATGTCACCCAGGTTTATAAAGAGGTCTGGCTCAGGTTTATAGTTAGGGATGGCTCAGGTTTATAGTTAGGGCTGGTTCAGGTTTATAGTTAGGGCTGGTTCATGTTTATAGTTAGGTCTGGCTCATGTTTATAGTTAGGTCTGGCTCAGGTTTATAGTTAGGGATGGCTCAGGTTTATAGTTAGGGCTGGCTCAGGTTTATAGTTAGGGCTGGATCAGGTTTATAGTTAGGGCTGGTTCATGTTTATAGTTAGGGCTGGTTCAGGTTTATAGTTAGAGCTGGCTCAGGTTTATAGTTAGGGCTGGTTCAGGTTTATAGTTAGGGCTGGTCCAGGTTTATAGTTAGGACTGGTTCAGGTTTATAGTTAGGACTGGTTCAGGTTTATAGTGTACAGATTGTAAAGCCCTCTGAAGAGAATTTGTGATTTGTGATTCTGAGCTATACAAAATGTACTGAATTGAATTGAAATGAATTGAATATTCTGATAATGTCTAATATATTTTGTACATTATATAATGATAACATGTAAAGGGGATGTGGTCTTTTTGCTGGACTCACCCTCCACGCTGAGCAGGAAGTGTTTCTTCATCAGGAGCTTCCCGTCTTCATCAAACACCTCCAGGCTGTAGCTTCCTGCATCTTCGGTCTGAACACGGTTGAATCTCAGCGAGCCGTCACTCAGCAGCTCGCAGCGTCCGTGGTGACACATCGTCACGTTGGTCCTCAGTGACATCACCAGGTGTGTGTTGGTCCACCTGATGTCCTGTCTGCTCTTCAACACCTGAAGGTCTGAGGACAGCAGGACGGCCCCCCCGCTTTGTGCTGTGATGGTCACCGTGGAAACAGAGTACGACAGGAAGAGACGACCCTCACTCATCATCATCATCTTCATCATCAGGATCAATAACCGGACCAGAACCAACATGGTTGCCGTCTGAAGTCCTCTCTGCTGGCTGCGCCCCCTCCGCTGTCAATCACTGAGAAGGAAACACACACACTTTCAGTGGTGAGTGTTTGTGTGTGTGTGTGTGTGTGTGTGTGTGTGTGTGTGTGTGTGTGTGTGAGAGAGTGTGTCTGTGTGTGTCTGTGTTTGTGTGTCCCCGGCTCCACTAGTCACATGTCGATGTGTCATTGAGTAAAACACTTAATCCCAAAATGTCTCCCGTAGCTGTGCCTACGGTGTAGAAATGTGATACAATCTGAATTGTAAGTCGCTTTGGATAAAAGCTTCTGCTAAATGAATGTAATGTAATGTAATGTGTGTGTCTGTGTGTGTGTGTCTGTGTGTGTGTGTGTAATGATACATACGTTTACAAATGAAGACGTGGAACAGTTTTTACAAGAATCCTGAAGAACTGGATGTAGAATCAGTTTGGTTGCAGCTGATTTCTTCTTCTGTTATTCAGAGAATCTTTGTCTTTTTGAACAGAGTTTAGTTCTCCGTCTACTAAACTAAAGAACACGTTCTACCTTCAGACCCGTAGAGAACAGATTTTAGTTCTCCGTCTACTAAACTAAAGAACACGTTCTACCTTCAGACCTGTAGAGAACAGAGTTTAGTTCTCCGTCTACTAAACTAAAGAACACGTTCTACCTTCAGACCTGTAGAGAACAGAGTTCTGGTCCTTCCTGTCTGACTGAACAATGACGGTAAAATCAGATTGAGCCTGTCAACAGATTGAACAAATAGAAGAGACACAAAGAACCTCGATCAAACAGCGAAGACGGAAACCAGACGAGAGACATTTTCACGCCTCAGACCACACGGTGTTTCAGTCTGTTCACCTGAAACTGAAACACAGAAACACACACACTCGCATACACCCACACACACACACACACACTCAGAGCTCTGAGTGAAGTGAAACTGGTGAACACTTGTTGGTTTATTTATAAATGTCTTTAACACTTTGTTCACACTGAGGAGTCTCTCTGATCACATTAAACATTAGATCTGATCTGAAGTCAGCTGCTGTTGGATGTGAACACAGTTCTCTGAGCTCAGTGTTGATCCGTACTGACTGCAGGTCAGTGTGTTCTCCACCTGGTGGAGCTGGATATTAGCTGGACATCATGACATGATGGAGGCTGTCAGTGAAGGAGCTGAATATTTGTTGTCCCACTAACTGCACGTTAAAATTTTCTCCTACTTTTGATTACTGCTACTGGTACTTTTGACTACTACTCCTTGTACTTTTGATTACTACTACTGGTATTTTTGACTACTACTACTGGTAATTTTGATTACTACTACTGGTACTTTTGACTACTACTTGTACTTTTGATTACTACTACTGGTACTTTTGACTACTACTACTGGTACTTTTGATTACTACTACTGGTACTTTTGATTACTACTACAGGTAAGTTTGATTACTACTACTGGTACTTTTGATTACTGGTACTTTTGATTACTACTTCTGGTACTTTTAACTACTACTACTGGTACTTTTGACTACTACTACTACATGTACTGTTGACTACTACTACTGGTACTTTTGGTTACTACTACTGGTACTTTTGATTACTACTACTGGTACTTTTGGTTACTACTACTGGTACTTTTGATTACTACTACTGGTACTTTTGATTACTACTACTGGTACTTTTGACTACTACTACTGGTATTTTTACTTCATACTACTGGTACTTTTTGTATCTACTACTAGTAGTACTTTTAGCAGGGTGTCCACAGCTATGTGTGGATAAGAAACTCGGAGAAAGAAATTAAGTTTAACATCAGCTCAATGACTCCATCTAGTGGATAAAACTACTGACTCACATCTACTGTTGTACTGCTGCTGTTAGTGCTGCTGCAGACTGGAGACTGAGCTGAGGGGGAGGAGGGACAGACAGACAGACAGGCAGAGAGAGAGAGAGAGAGAGAGAGAGAGAGAGAGAGACAGACTGAGCTGAGGGGGAGGAGGGTCAGACAGACAGGCAGAGAGAGAGAGAGAGAGAGACAGACTGAGCTGAGGGGCAGGAGGGACAGACAGACAGGCAGAGAGAGAGAGACAGACTGAGCTGAGGGGGAGGAGGGACAGACAAACAGACAGACGGAGGGAGGAGATAATGAGACTGGAGGAGTCACAGTGTTCACTCTGCAGCTCTCAGTTAGTCTGTCTCTCCCTCTGGGTTCCTCTCTGTCTTTCTTTTTGTCTTTCTGTCTGTCTCTCAGCCCGTCTCTCTCTCGCTCTCTCGCTCTCTCGCTCTCTCTCTCTCTCTCACACAGGATGGACCACTTTCGTTATGGATTATTGATTATTGTCTTTCTGCTGCCGATTGACTGTTTACACTCAGTTTACATCACTGACAACATAGGTGAGACAACTGATACGTCTACTGCGAGAGCTCCTTATATTACTACTTCAAGACAGTACTGTACTTCTGTTTCTGTTAGAATTACATCATTGACAACACAGATGAGATACTGATGCTGCAACTGATGCTACTTCTATTAAAACTACTACTACTACTACTGCTACTGCTACCGGTAGTGGTACTTATATTACTACTATGTGTATTACTACTGTTACTGTTAAAATTACATTCCTGACAACACAGGTGAGACTTACTTCTACTGCTATTGGTACTACTGCTACTACTACTACTACTTTTACCATTAATTCTACTACTACTGGTGCTACTGATACTACTTCTACTGCAATTGATAATACTACTACTGGTAGTACTGTTACTACTGCAACTTCTACTACTTGTAGTGCTACTACTGTGGTTAGCGTTTCTACTGCTACTACTAACTGTACTTTTACTGTTCCTGTTTCTACATATTTACTACTGTTCATGTTATAGTATACTGTTACTTCTGTTAATAGTACAAAAAATCCAAATGTACGCAGACGACACTGTTGTATTCGTACAGAAAGACTCACAACCGTCTTAAAGGTCATTAGTCTGTGTTCAGTTTGCTACGTTTACACTGAGTGTCCACACTACCCTGCCGTTTCCGAGCACCGAAAACAGATACGTTTGAAAACGATCCAGAAGACAGATAAGTTTGAAAACGCCGGAGTTGCCTCTTCGAGTGGACAGATACGTTTGGAAACGATGATGCCCACACCCACGTTCATTACTTGATTGGTTCTTAGCAGTCATGACGTGTCCTTCCCTGATTCGTCACACGTCTATCACCTGACCTTTACCCGGAAACTCACAAACAACAACATTGATTATCGATCGACTACCAGGTCAATTTAACATGGACAACTGATTGCAGTTGTTGCTGACCTTGTTGTCTTTACTAGCAGCTGTTGTTCAGTTAAAGTCTGCATTATTATGGAGGAAGCAGCTGTTAATGGAGCGATTAGTGAGCGGCGTGTCCAGCGGTGTTATCAGACCTACGGAGCGGACGTCTGAAGTCACGGTTAGCGGCTTTGAGGAGGACGATGAACATAAAACGGAGGACTTTCCTTTTCTTATTAATGCTTATTTTGTTATGCACAACTATTCTTTAGTCCACACACATAAACTATAAAGAAACAAAACATGAAATGCTCTCCAGTAGGATAGAGACTTCAGCCACCACTAGAGCTACGAGTGAGAACAGAAACAATGAAGCCGAAGAAACAAGTGAGAGACGTGTGTTGACCACATTTATGGACCCATAATCTAGTAAACTTTTAAACACATTCGTCCATGAAGAAGAACCAACACTAACCGTGTCACTATAAACATATTGATCGTTCATTAAAACATGTCCATCTCTTTTCTCACTACTGCTGCTTTTGAGAACTAAACCTCACGCTGGTTTTGTTTTTGCTCTGAAGTTTTCTAGGAAGCGTTTTGTGATTTCGTAACTTTTCCACACATGAAAAACCTCAAAGTCAATCTAAATATTTGTAATCAGCTCCATCCTGAGCTCTTGGTTAGTTGTTATAAAGAAAAAGGCTTCAGGTGTGATCCTGTTCCTCTCAGGTACGAGACACTGCGTCCTGTCTGCATGTAGCCACAGCGCCCCCTGCTGCTGAAACCACAGACAGTAGTGAGGACTGTGCATCTCATTACTATTCTTCTTCTGTGGTTCTTGTTCAGTCCTCCCCAGTCTCCCTAGTCTCCCCAGTGTCCCCAGTGGCCCCAGTGTTTCCAGTCTCCCTAGTCTCCCCAGTCTCCCTAGTCTCCCCAGTATCCCCAGTCTCCCAAGTCACCCCAGTCTCCTCAATGTTTCCAGTCTCCCCAGTGTCCCCAGTGTCCCCAGTCTCCCTAGTCTCCACAGTCTCCTCAGTGTTTCCAGTCTCCCTAGTCTCCCCAGTCTCCCTAGTCTCCCTAGTCTCCCCAGTCTCGCCAGTGTCCCCAGTGTTTCCAGTCTCCCCAGTCTCCACAGTCTCCCTAGTGTTCCCAGTGTCCCCAGTCTCCCCAGTCTCCTCAGTGTTTCCAGTCTCCCTAGTCTCCGTAGTCTCCCCAGTCTCGCCAGTGTTTCCAGTCTCCCCAGTCTCCACAGTCTCCCTAGTTTCCCCAGTGTCCCCAGTGTCCCCAGTCTCCTCAGTGTTTCCAGTCTCCCTAGTCTCCCCAGTCTCGCCAGTGTCCCCAGTGTTTCCAGTCTTCCCAGTCTCCACAATCTCCCTAGTCTCCCTAGTGTCCCCAGTGTCCCCAGTGTTTCCAGTCTCCCCAGTCTCCCTAGTCTCCCCAGTCTCCCGTGTTTCCAGTCTCCCCAATGTTTCCAGTCTCCCTAGTCTCCCCAGTCTCCCTAGTCTCCCCAGTGTTTCCAGTCTCCCCAGTCTCCCCAGTCTCCCCAGTGTTTCCAGTCTCCCCAGTCTCCCCAGTGTTTCCAGTCTCCCCAGCATTTCCAGTCTCCCCAGTCTTCCCAGTGTTTCCAGTCTCCCTAGTCTCCCCAGTGTCCCCAGTGTCACCAGTCTCCCCAGTGTCCCCAGTGTCCCCAGTGTTTCCAGTCTCCCCAGTCTCCTCAGTGTTTCCAGTTTCCCCAGTTTCCCCAGTGTCCCCAGTGTTTCCAGACTCCCCAGTTTTTCCAGTTTCCCCAGTCTCCCCAGTGTTTCCAGTCTCCCCAGTTTTTCCAGTCTCCCCAGTTTTTCCAGTCTCCCCAGTGTTTCCAGTCTCCCCAGTCTCCCCCAGTGTTTCCAGTCTCCCCAGTGTTTCCAGTGTTTCCAGTGTTGTGTTCTAACGGTTCCAGCAGCAGATGGAAACTCTTCTTTTTCTCTCCTCTCCATGTTTTTCCCATAAATCTTTGTGTTTATGCGTCTGTGGCCATTGAGGAATGTGAAGGATTCAGATCATATTTCATCATCTCCTCTGTGTGTGTGTGTGTGTGTGTGTGTGTGTGTGTGTGTGCGGGTGTGTGTGTGTGTGTGTGTGTGTGTGTGTGTGAGGGTGTGTGACCTCTGACCTTCATCACCTCAGACAGAAAGACAGCAGCCTCCTTTCTTGTTAAATCACTGCAGATATTCTGCTTTGTACTGATACTGTCCACACACACACACGCACACACGCACACACCAGTGATGTCACTCTGCTCTGCCCTGATTGGCTCTCAGTTAAGGTCTAATGCCAGATTCAAATGTGTCTTCTCCAGGTTCTGTTCCAGCAGTAAAATCACATCCATATTAATAACTGAAGCTATTTGTGCATTATTATTGTTCCTATTATTATTATTATTATTATATTATTATTATTATATTATTGTTATTATTATTATTATCATTATAATGTGTCACAGAGTAGAAGAACGCAGCTCTCTGCCCAACTTCACTGTCTCTCTCACTGTCAAAGCGATCAATCAACAATCAATACACGTGCGCCCGTCTTTGTATATTTGTATATATTTATATTACCTTTGTCTTAGACAATAACTAGAAATGATATATTCACATGATATGTAAATATATATTTACACATTGTTGCGCTCACATTAATAACATTTTATTCACACTAGAGCATTTTCACATCTTAAAAGATTTTAAAAACGTCTCCTTGGTCCATGTGTGCGTATAAAGATACATGTGTAGTTTTTATATATATATATATATATATATATATATATATATTATAAAGTAAAATCATGTATCTGAGGACACCTGTGACACTATGACATCGCTGTGACATCAATACAGGTGACACCAAAGTCATGTGATCTCTCTCTCTCAGATTCTCTCCATCAGGTGCTGTCAGAGTTCGCTGTTGTTCGTCCAATCAGGACCAACTCAGAGGGACGTTTCCTGTCAGCTCTCGTCTCCGCCCACCACCTGCCCCGCAGGAAAAGACACGCCCCCTTCACACAGGACACGCCCACTGACACAAACAATGACAGACAGACTCGAACAAACAGGCCTCCATTACAACATGCCCCGCCCACAGATGCATCACCGTCCAACCGGACGTGGCGTACCTGGAGGGGGCGGGGCCACAGGCAGGAGGAGGCGGAGCTGTTCTACAACGTGACGGTGTTCGGTCAGGAGCTGCACCTTCGTCTGCGTCACAACGGTCGCCTCGTCTCCCCCAACGCCACCACGGAGTGGTGGGAGGAGTCAGGACACAAACACTCTCAGCCAATAGGAGACGCCGGCTGCTTCTACACAGGAGAGGTGTCCAACATGGAGGACACGTCCATCGCCATCAGCAACTGTTACGGGCTGGTAGGTGTCACCTGAAACTGTTTCACTGTTTTACTGTTTCACCTTTAAACTGTTTCACTGTTTCACCTTTAAACTGGGATGACTGTGGCTAAGTGGATAGCAGGGCCGTCTTTCAATCAGAGGGTCAGCGGCTCCGGCTCTGCTAGTCTCATGTCGATGCGACTAGCACTTAACCCCAAAATTGCTCCTGTTGTTGTGCCTACGGTGTAGAAATGTGATAGACTCTGAATTGTAAGTCGCTTTGGATAAAAGCATCTGCTAAATGACTGTAATGTAACTGTTTCACTGTTTCACCGTTTCATTGTTTCACTGTTTCACTGTTTTACTGTTTTACTATTTCACCTTTTAACTGTTTCACCGTTTCATTGTTTCACTGTTTCACTGTTTCACCGTTTCACCGTTTCATTGTTTCACTGTTTCACTGTTTTACTGTTTTACTATTTCACCTTTTAACTGTTTCACCGTTTCTTTGTTTCACTGTTTCACAGTTTAACTGTTTCACCTTTTAATTGTTTCACTGTTTCATTGTTTCGCTGTTTCACCTTTTAATTGTTTCACTGTTTCACCTTTAACAGTTTCAACTTTTCACTGTTTCACTGTTTCAATTTTTCACTTATTCACTATTTCACTGTTTCACTGTTTGATTGTTTCATTGTTTCCACTGTTTCATTGTTTCAAGGTTTGTTTCACTGTTTCATTTTTTCACTGTTTCACTGTTTGATTGTTTCACTGTTTCACTGTTTGATTGTTTCATTGTTTGTTTCACTGTTTCACTGTTTTACTGTTTCATTGTTTCACTGTTTGATTGTTTCACTGTTTGATAGTTTGTTTCACTGTTTGATTGTTTCACTGTTTCCCTGTTTCACTGTTCCATTGTCTCACTCTTTCATTGTTTCACTCTTTCATTGTTTCACTGTTTCCCTGTTTCATTGCTTCA